ATCTTAAGAAACGGTTTGTTGCTATACTTAAAAGATTTTTTTTTAAATCATGAATGGGTGTTGTATTTTGTCAAAAGCTTTTTCTATATTGATGTGGTGACTATCNTTAAGAAACGGTTTGTTGCTATACTTAAAAGATTTTTTTTAAAATCATGAATGGGTGTTGTATTTTGTCAAAAGCTTTTTCTATATTGATGTGGTGACTATCATTGTTTCCATTTTCTATTATGTTTATAGTTCTCCTAATATTGAACCAAACCTGTATTCCTAGTATAAATCCAACCTTGTCATAATGTAGGATCTTTTTGTTAGGTCCCAGAGCATCTTGCTCCTTATATGACAGTGATGAGAATGCTGCTTTCGCCAGCACCTAATTTTGGATTACCTCAGCAGAGTGCCCTGGACAGAGCTCATTTGTCCATTCCACATCCCATGCTCATTGTCAGCCACTAGGGAAGCCTCCAGGTCCCTGGTGGTCTTTTAGTGTTCCAACCACATATGCCTACTTGCTCATTATCTAAATAACCAGTCACCTTCCTCACTAAGATAAGGAGGAATCAATCCAAAAGCATTTATTAAATATTTGTTCTGTGCTGGGAATCCAAAGAAAAAGTTAAAATATTATTGATTTTTCTTACTACCCAGGAAAAAAAAGAATAATTCAATTCAACATATAATTTACCTCCAAATTTCATCAAAAAGGCTATTCTCCCTACATCCAGAAAGAAGCATTTTAGGAGGACAGTGTGATAGAGTAGGGAGTGCTGAATTTGGAGTCAGAAGACCTAGGTTAAATCCTGCCTCCACCATTTATAACTTGTGTGATGTTGGGCAAGTCACTTAACCTGGATGAGTCTCAGGTGTAAAATGAGGCAGTTGAACCGGATGACCTCTAAAATCCCTGCCAGGTTGAAATCTTGTGGCTTTGAATGTGTTACTCTCCCTGCCTCCCCCCAAGAGATAAAGATCCCTGTTAAACCGGGCCAACCAAGTAACTTGTTAAGAAGTCTCAGAAATATTTACTTTGTAAACTCTTTGGTTTCTCTGCTTCCTCATTCGCTTATCAGTAAAATTTAATTTCAAAGAATTCCAACCTTGTCTCAGGTAAACTGGAAAAGAGGTTTTCCCTACCCCTCCCACATCCCCACAGAGGGTGTCAATTAGGGCTTCTCAAATATGGTTCTGGCATCCATTTCGTTGTCGTTGTTTGTCCTTCTCAAAGAGAATCATGCCATCAGGAAGGTAATGTCGTGACATGCAAGTGACTTGGATTTAAGTGAGGGAGGACTGTGCAAAGTCACCAGCTTCGCTTTCTCTTCTGGAGCCATCTTGGTCCAGTGGCGAGATATAGATCAGGACCACTGGAGATCACCCTGGATGGTTCTGGCATCCATTTCAGAGAATAGGTAAAGCTGTAGCAGCTAGGAGAGGGGATAAGATCAATGTGGTACATGGGTCTGGTTGTCCCAGGTCTGCCACTTAACTAGCTTTGTGGGTCTAAGCAAGTCATTAAATTTTGTTGACCCATGATGTTCTCATGACAGACAGCATGGCCTGGTGAATAGAGAATTTGTCTCAAAGTTGGATTCAATTCTCATTTCTGATACATTCTGACTGGATGACCTTGGGAAAGTCATAACCTTGCCCCCAATTCCCTCATCCCTGCTCTAAGCATCTCTTAAGTAGCACAGAACTTGACACCTTACATAGACGAGTCTCCTCATAAAGGGGGTCTTTATTCCAGAGAAATTATAGATCCAGTCTCTTTCCCCCTAGAATGAAAAGTTTTGGGACCACCTGGGCCACTCCACAGATTCTCCCAAAACAGAAGACATAGTCTCTGCCCTTAATAAACTTAACAGTATGTTTGGGGAGAAAATATAAAAATACATGAAGTCAATCATTTTATTGAGCGCTTGCTATTTACTCAACATGGTGCTAAGCAGTAATATGACAGATTTTTATAAAATATTAAAAAATATCTTCCATACGATCTTAATTTCCCGTCATTTGTAGGTTGCTTTTTAAGTGTTCTTAAATCATCTTGATGTTGTATAAATATTCATTCTGCCTAGGACCATGAGGCATTTGGGGGCATTGCCCTAGGAGTGGACATCCAGACATCCCTTAATGCCCAAGAAGACACTAAGCAGCAGTATAAGAATCAGCAGTGGTCTCTCTTTTATGCTTAGATTGCTGTTCTGGATCACCTTCTTACGGGGAATCAGTGGATGGAAGGGGAAGAAGGAGGGCAGGTTTTGTCTTCAGCAAATTCCTATGTCTTCCATTTATTCCTGGTTGGGCTAAACATCAAATCAGTCAGGGACATTATAACACCCACTAACCAACGGTCACCATTTTTTAAATTATAAAATTTGCAGATAAGTGGGCAACCATTTGTTGGGTATGTAATAATGGAGATTCCTTTTCTGTATGGGTTGAACTAGATAACTATCTCAACAGCTGTTGAGGTCTCTTACAACTCTCAAATTCTGATTCTATGAAAACAAGTCAATGCCATTTTATGCCAGTTCTATAATTATTCTTTTTGGATCCATTAGAGTAAGATTCCTGCACACAACTCTAAATCAGACTTCTCAACTAAAGGATTATATACTTCCTGTGGGCAAGAACTATATTGTACCCTCTGTGTCCATGGTGTCTCTTTTCCCCCTCCCCAGGCTGCCAATGCACCCCCAAGAACTCTGGGCATACCACTAATGCTACTGATTGACAGAATGATTTCTTTCAGCCATGGCCATCCCTCTCTGGAAAGAATTTCCTTTAGAGAAAAATGGCAGCTGCATGGGACATGATGACCTTGGTTTATTGCTGCCAAAGGATGGATACCAGACAAATCAGGGCTGGAGGGTTGGAGGAGGTGGGAGTGGGGTAAATAGAACACAAGAAGGAGAAGAGGCAGAGCACAGTGCTGACAGGGGAAACCCTAGGCCTATTGGGCTTAGGGCACTCACAGTGAATCTCTAGGAAGCCTCAAATGTAAGAGACACAAAGCAGAAGCCCTGGGGCTCTTAGTTATGCCCCCTCCCCTATAGGACATTCTTAAAGTGCTGACATTGCAAGAACAGGTGCATAGCTTCATGCCCTTTGGAGGGCATTATTAGGTCTCTTTCCCTCCTTTTCTGCCTAACTTTTGCTGATGCCCAGAACTAACATTGCTCACAGCAAAGATGCTTTGGGTCCATCAAGGAGGTGAGGAAAGCCCATCTCCCACACCCATCCCATCGCTATATGTAGTACCCATGAGGAAGCAGAGGCAGGCAGGGAGGCTTTCAGTCAAAAGGAAAAGGTTGTGCTTAGCTTAGCCCATGCCAATGTGCCAGGGCTGGCACACAAGGAAGGGACAGTTTGATTTCTGCCTGAAAGAGGTGAGGCATAGATAGTTAAAACAGGAGCAAAGGACAGTGCCCAGGGCATGCAGCATTCTCCTTATCCACCCAGCTTGGCATGCTCCCCATATCCATTGTATAAAGTGCTAAAGAAGAGTAGGGTTATGGTTTTGAGATGTCAAAAAATGTCATGTCCTCTCCTGGCAGTTACATGCTATTTGAGCATAGCTGCATTCAGCTTGGGTATTTGTTACATCATTACCCAAGCCTCAAGACCAACCTGAGTTAAAATGAAGTGACCAGTTCTCAAGGGCAGCCTCAACCCCATGCCTAAGAGAGTCTGATCGAAGTTTGAGGTCCCAATGATACCAATCAAACTCATATGGATAACAAAATTACCTCCCTAGCCAGGAAGGTAAGGGCAGGTCCAGGAGAGGAGCAAAGTGCCCCGAGAAGAACAAAAGGACTTCCCTCTACCCTGCCTTCTTGCTCACAGCCAAATCTCATCACTACTCATACTGGATGCCCGATAGATGTAGCCCAGCATCGGAAGATGTACAAAACCTGTGGGTGAAAGGGATCCAGAACCTGAGCTCCCAGTATCACTGAGGAAGAGATGCTTAGTCTATGTGCCAACCCTCTTTCCCCAGGGAACCTCACTCTTGGAGAGCTGGTAGCATAGATGCCTAGGTTCCTTCCATGTCCTCTAGGGGTTACAGAATCTATATAAATGGGCATATTTGGCAGGGGAGATGAGGAGGTGGAGAGGTATGTGCCCTGTTGGTACCCATTTTCCTTGCCCTGGATACCTTGGCTGGTGAAAAGGACACCATTCTCAGGGTCCAGGATGTCAGGCCTCCTGGTGTTCTGTGGAATCTGTCCATCAGCTGGTTTGGCTGTTGGATGATAAAGATGGTGGTGCCTGGTGCCCTCCAGTGCCAGAGGAGTTCCTTCTGCTGCCCATGCTCCCCTTCCCCAGTAGGTGTTGCAAACTCAGGAGCCAACCCAGTGGACAGGGACATGAGGGAGGGTGGCTGAAGAGCCTTAGGTGGCAGGGGAGGGCATGGTCTCTAGTCATCTCACAATGCTGTTCATCCTCTTCTGAACCCACTCTAGATTTTCAATGTTCTTCCTAAAATGTGGTACCCAGAACTCAACAATACACTTTGCCTGACCACAGCAAAATATACACCACCTCTGGAGTCCGGAGTGAGATCATTGAGTTGCAGGTTGGAAGGGAGGGACATGTTTTCCCGGGGCAGTCGCACATTGTTGAGTTTCAGATTGTTGGAGTCACTGCAAGGTAGGTAAATGCTGATATCACCCTTGACACCAGCTGTGATATGTTCTCAACTTGTGGTATGGACCAGACCTGCCGACCTCCAAGAAATCTCCCCAGCACCCACACTGTGTATCAGTCCTGCCCATTGTCTGGCAACCCACCCACCATCCTACCCAGACTGAAGGTATGTTACCTGGAGAGGAGAGATGGGTGCCGAGAGGTGCCTGGGAGAAAAGAAGAGGGTGGGCCCACTGACTCCATCCCATCACAGTGCACTAACTGCCACCCCAGTTGGGGAGGTGCTCTGGCATGCTCATCTCTGACAAGAGAATTCATGACTTCTCACTGATCCCACTGTCTCACCCAGATCCTCATCACTCTGGGGTCTCCTCCACCCTGCCCACTCTCCAGCGGTCCCATGCAACTTGTTCTTCCCAGCTCCCTCCGTTCCAGATTTGTTCAGCTCTGCCCCATGCTCACCATGTTTGATCTCGTCTCCACCTCTGTCCCCACTTGGCAATCTTATTATAGGTTCTATCCTTATACTTCCTCTTCCCTGTTTTCACTCACAGCCTCCCTCCCCATCCCTGTTATCTGTACACACACCACCTTCCCTCCCATGCCTTCCACTCCTATCCCTACCTGTAGTCTTTTTGTCCTTCCTGCAGACCAGGCAGGCCACCAGAGTGCTGAAGCCCACCAGAGTGCCCAGAGCAAGAGCTCCAGCCACAACAATACCCAGCATCGGCACTTCCACCTGGGTGGCCAGGAGCCCTGTGGGGCATCCCTTGGTCAAGCCCAGGGAGGCAGTGTCCCTGCCCATCCCAACATGCAAGGGGAGAGAAGCCCTGGCAATCTTTGTTCCTATGGGCAAGATGCCCTGGCAGGAGTTACCTCTAGCAAGTTTCCTAGTGCAAATTCCTGGTCTTCCAGTAAGAGATCCTCTTGCCTTTCCCATATGCCACCTGTGCCCACCCCAACCTTTGGCAATACCTACGCCCTTTGGATAGGAGGGGCAGTCTCTGTTCCACACCACCCATACCCCTCTGAGCTTTGCCTGACTCACCTGGGGCTGGGAGAGAAGAACTAGTGACACCCACGTCATTGGTGGCCACCACAGAGAGGTTCTGTGCCCGGCTGTGGAGCTGTAGCTGCACAGTGTGGTTGGTGAGCCAGGGGTAGCTCTGAGCATCCAGTACCAGGAAATCAGAAGTGTTGACAGTCACTGGTCCATCCCGGTCAATCCATGTGACATTGGCAGGTGGGTTGGCACGCACCAGGGCAAACAAGACAACCAAGAGCCCTGGGCCCTGGGCTTCTTGGTACTTGGCTCCAACCTTGGCAATCTCTGGTTTGACTGGGGCAAAGCAGAAGCCACCCTACTCCTATCACTGGCCTTACATCACTCCCTGCACCAAACCCCTCCCAAATACAATTTTTGGGAAGAGAGGAGACCAAGGAGTCACACACCAGGGACCTCTCCTCAGACATGGCTGGGGATTTGGATACCCAGGGTCACTTCTCAGATAGGGCTGGGAGTCGGGCCACTTTGGGCCTCTTCTCATATAAAGAATGAGATATGGCAAGATCTGGATCTGGGCATAAGATCAGGGGAGAGGAAATAGGGCCTGTGAATTCTTTCTGAGCATGCTATGTAAGTAAGAGACTGTAGGCTGCTTTGGTCTGCGCTCCCAGGTCTCATATCGCCAGGTACTGGGAGTGGCACCTGGAGAGGCTAGGGTAGAGGGGATTGGCACTCCAGGAGTACAATGCAGAGAGCCCTCTCCTCCATCCCTCTTCCCCACCCTGGCAGACACTCACACTGCACATTAAGGATGACAGAGGCATTGGCCACCCTCCTGGTGTCTGGATCCTGCAAGGAGCAGTTCAGCTCATGCTGAGCCCTCTGAGCCGTGATTGTAAAAGTGCTAGTGCTGCCTGTGAAGGCCTCCCCACCCACACTCAATAGCCTCGACGTGTTGGCCTCCTGTAATTGTCCATCCAGGTACCAGGCCAGCCTCGGAGGGTCATGCCCACCTTCCACTTGGCAGGTGAAGGCATGGCGTTCATTCTCCCTCAGCGCCCTCTCTGCCCATGTCTGCCCATCGATCTGAGGCGCCAGCTCCCCCCGGCCTGGAACAGAGTAGGGGCCCCATGATTGAAGGGCCTTGGGAATGCTTAGGATTCAGTAATGGAGAAATCAGAGGAAGTATGGAGAGGCAGAGTAAGGTGGGGGTATAAGTCACATTGGGGTGTTGGGGGCTACTATGTAACAGACCATGGGAAGAAACCCAAATGCTTAAGAAGTCACATGAATGGGGACCTAGGAAGAGAGAGGCAGGGCAGCCTCTGAGATTCCCCTCATGAGCAAGGGAGAGAAAATGAGATGTTCTAGGTCTAGTATCGCCAGGCACTGGGGGTGGCACCTGGACAAACCTGGGAGCCTGATGTCTAGGGTAGAGGGGATCAGCACTCCAGGAGCACTGAAAGTGAGTGGACACCAGGAGGGGTCAGGTGGAGGTAGAGGCAGGGTACCTGAGCTCAGCAAGGCCTGTACTAGCAGCATCGTGGGAGGGAATGCAGCGAGGGTCCAGCAAAGCATCATGGTCAGCCCCAGTTTGAACCCTCTTTGGCTCCTGGGGGCAGAGGAGAGAGGCCTGGGGGGTGGGAGGAAGGAAGAAAGGGAGGACAGGCACAAGGGCCTCCTCCCATACACATATACATGTAGAAAACACGTGCATATGCATAGATACCCAGAAACAGACATATACATTGATAAACATACTCTTTCACAGACATATGCACAGAAACACATAGTAGCTTCTATAGGTACACATATACTCTCAGATATACATAGAAACATGTGCATATACACACTGAAATATGCATGCATAGAAAACACACACACACATATAAATGCACAGGCAAAGAAAGCGTGTCCCTGCTCCTGAAGGTCATAATCTCTCTCCTTCCCCAGATGCCTCCTCCCACCCCTCTCTCAGGCCATAGCCCTTCCTCTGCTCTCTTTCCCTGCCTTTGACTTCTCTCCTCCTTTCTGCAGATTGGGGGTGGTGGGGGACAGGTGGGGTGTGGGGAAGGTTTCAGCTTTGGGACCAGTCGCAAGTAGCAAGCAGGGCATCTGGGCAGTGGGATGGGGGAGCTGCCGGGGAGAAGTCCCTGTAGTGGACAGCCCCTCCCTGGGGCCTGGGCCTCTGACTCCATCCCCTGGGCATCACTCACCCGGGATCCCTCCCCTGTCAAACCCTGGTCCAGGCTCCTCTCCAGGACTGGGGACAGCAACTGCTCAGGTCTGATGAATACTGCAGTGTGATGCAGGGGCTCGGAGCATGGGCAGACAGGGCCAATCAATGCCCGATGTGCCACTCCCTTCCTGGGTGAAGGCTGGGCCGCCCGACCCCCTCCTTCTGGCGTGGGAAGCAAGGGGGCATTAGCTCCCACCCACCTTCTGTCATCGCCAAAGCACCTTAGCCGTGCATACACCGCCCCTCTGCTGCCTCTGCCGCCACAGGCTGCATCCCTCACCAGCGGGGCTGGTCCGAGAGTGTGATGTGTTCCCAGGGCATTTCTAGTCTCCGGCACCTTGCTCCCCGGGAAGAAGCAGTGTGGGCAATTGGGAGTAACTCTAGAGCCCAGCTGAGGCTGGGCACCCAAGTGCAAATTCCATCCCTGCCACTGAGTGAGTGCATGTGTCCCGTAAATCTCTGA